ATTCGCATTGGCGGCGACACGGAGAAGATGACGCTGATCCCGTCAGCGGCGTTCAACGAGATCCAAGCCATGCAGCACCTCGCCCACCCCAACGTACCTGCCGATGACTGGTAGACCGTCATATTTGCTGGCTTAGATTGTGCAGCTGCTCCATGTGGTTCCCGAAGGTGCCTCTGTGGGCCTCGTTCTCGAGTACATGGCGACCGATCTGGCACAGGTATGACTCCTGCAATCGATCATAGCAATAAGAAAGGCGCTAGCTTATGGCGCAGGCGACGTCGCCCTTCTCGCCGCATGAGGTCAAGTCGCTCATGTACATGCTGCTGCGAAGCGTCGAACACTGCCACCGCCACAAGATCATGCATCGGGTTAGTTGGCCGCCACTTCTGTTCTCGAGTAAATGCGGCATGTAGGATATCAAGCCAGCCAACCTTCTTCTCGACAAAGACGGTGTCCTCAAGCTCAGCGACTTTGGACTTGCCTCCGTGTACACGGGGCCGAGTCGCGAGTACAGCCACACAGTTGCGACGTGGTGGTACCGCGCACCAGAGCTGCTCTTTGGCTCCCGCAGTTACGACTTGTCGGTCGACCTATGGTCCGTCGGCGTCATCTTTGGCGAACTCTTGCAGCATGCGCCAATGTTTCCGGGTCTCAATGACATTGACCAGCTCTTCCGCGTGATCCAAGTTCTGGGGTCGCCTTCTTGGGCCGGCGTCGAGAGCTTGCCCGACTACCACAAGGTGTCCTTCCCAGCGTTCTCGGCCATCCCACTGGACGTGTTGCTGCCAGAAGCCCCAGCTATGGCACGGGACCTGCTGAGCCGTCTTCTCGAGTACGATCCCAGCAAGCGTATCTCGGCAGCAGAGGTAGTCCTTGAAACTTGGCTACTATCAAGCTATCGAGTATCGGTGTAGGCCCTGCACCACCCGTATTTTCTCGCTCACCCGACTCCGGAGGCATCGCTTTCGCCCGACCGCCTTCTACCAAGCGCATCTGGCAAGACGAGCGATGACTTTGCGCTGCCAAACACATCGACCTTGGACCTCGACATTGGTTTTCTTTAAGCGTGGAAACTGTATCAAATTATCAGTTTCGTATATAAGATCTAAATGGCGCTAGAACAAAAAAACTTCTTTGTGGAAGTCGACGTTGACCGACCGCGCGTGGCGCTGGACGTCGGCCACGAGACCCGGTGGGCCGCACGCGAGTACGCACACCTTCTTCCCCAGGAACCGCTCGTGGTTGATGACCTCGTCCAGAATCGGCTTGCCACGGACGTAGTGTACGGTCTCGCCCGTGCTGCTGAGGAGGCTGCTGGACTCGTCGGCCACCGTGCTGTAGAGCTTGCACACAATATCATGCGGCAGCGGGAACATGAGGCGGTCGGCGCTCAAGAGATCCGCCGGCGCGCGCACGACCCAGTGCATTTCCAAGTTGGCGCGGCGCGTCTCACCCCACTTGTCGCGGCACTGGTTCATCACGCTCAGCATCGGCGTGACACCAATACCGCCGCAGATCATGACCACGTGGTCGTACCGGTCGAGGTCGACGGCCGGCTTGCCGTGCGGCCCACCGACAAGCACGGTCAGCGTCGTCGCATCGGCCGCGGCGTGGCACACCTTGTCACCAAACGACCCTTTCTTCGGCGCCTTGATGCAAATGCCGATAGAATCTTGCTTGGGCGACACGATCGCCGAGATGGACGGGACGCAGGTGGGACGACGGCGCATTGGCCCGGAAAAGTCTGCGCACCGCAGCGCAGCGAAGGTCGAGCGTTGACTTTTGTCTCGGCCAACGCGCCGTCGTCGCAATACCGCTAATCAACGCTTCGCATTCAATATAAATGTTCCTACCAGCTCACACCGGAAGGGACCTGTTGTAGAACAACACTCTTGGTCATCAATCACACGTGGTATAAGACATCTGTAATGGGAGTCTATTCATTTCTACAGGTTATCAGAGGATACACTTTTCGTTGACCATTTGGTCATTCACGATGGGCAGCCAGAAGCATGGTCCGTCCCGTCCGATCCTCTCGGCAGCTGTTCAAGCGTCGCCGCGTCAGCTTGCCGGAGGACTTGGTCCGACCTTTGGCGTCGAAGCCGACGCGCTCC